CGGGGGGGGGGCCTGGCGGGAGGGTGGCCCGGCTGAAGCTCCTCCTGGAGGGGACCGGACGGAGGACACAGTTTGCATTCCTCCCCCGCATTTTCCTGCCCGTGTTACCGGGGCCTAAGTGGGGCTTACTTCCAGGAAAGCATCATTCACACTGCATCCAAAGCCTTGGATTCTGTTCCAAATACATCTACAAGCTCTCACGTAAAGGGTTGGAAGGCTCTGGGTTGGGGAATTCCTGGAGATTTTGGGGGGTGGACCCTCGGGAGGGGAGGCTTTGGGGAGGAGTGGGACCTCAGCAGGATAATAATGCCACAGACACCAACTTTCAAAGCAGCCACTTTCTCCAGGGGAACTGATCTCTGTTCTTTGGAGACCATTTGTAACTCCAAGGGATCTCCAGCCAACACCTGGAGGTTGACAACCCAACTCATGTAGCAAGGCTGGGAAAAGGCCTTTAAGAAGCTCTTCCCAGTAAGGAAGGATGATCAATCTGACTCAGTAAAAAAAAGAAGTTTCCTGCATTCAGTACTGATTTTGCATACATATTTTTCCATAAAATGTATGGAGAGCATTTGGATTGAATCTAACGAATGCATTTTTAATGCTTTACTGGTCAACAGCCTCAGCCAGTTCAAAGGGAATGGGACAGAAAGAGAGAGAGAGAAGGAGAAGTCATGGATAGACATTTTTGATCAAATGTTCCTGTTACAACCATTTGTTTTGCTTCTAAAAATGGGAGATGACAGTATGTTGTAATGGACAGAGCACTTTTCTTAAGGGAATGGGACAGAAAGAGAGAGAGAGAAGGAGAAGTCATGGATAGACATTTTTGAACAAATGTTCCTGTTACAACCATTTGTTTTGCTTCTAAAAATGGGAGATGACAGTATGTTGTAATGGACAGAGCACTTTTCTTAAAAAGGTAAAGGTTCCCTTGCTCGAAAGCCAGTCGAATCCGACTCTAGGGTTGCGGTGCTCATCTCCGTTTCAAAGCCGAAGAGCC